CATATCGTCGCAAATAATTGATATATCGTCACAAATATCGTATTTTTGATGACATGTCATCGCAACTTAGTCGTCGCAAAAAATTTGATGCAAATAATATATTTGCGACTATAGAGTTTTGAAATGTCATCGTAAATATTTTAGCGACGACAGTCGTCACGAATAAGTCGTCACAAATGTTCCGTCAAATATGCCGTTGATGATTACGTGTCATAACGTATTTACGACGACATGGTGTTGTCGCAAAAGTCCTTAAATCTTTTGCGACTAAACCGTCATCGCTAGTAATGTGAACTATTTGCGACGACACTTTAGATATGTCGTCGTAAATAGTATTTTCTTTTTTTTCTGTACTTTCCTAATAATATTAATTTATAAAAATATAATTTGAAGAAATTTTAATAATAAAATAAAACAATATAATTGATATAAAATAGTCAACACAATAATAAAATAAGTCTTAAAAAGTAAATTAATCAGGAAATACTAAAAAGTACTGATAATAAGAAAAATTATAACATATATTTTAATCTCCTAAATTAGCAGGATCGTCGTCCTCATCCTCGTCTTCTTCATTTCACTCAAGCGGCAGAGGAACCAACTGTTGGGAACGGGTAACTGGCAAGAAGTTGATGTTGGGATTCATTGAGCGCATGACTTCTATGATGATCTGCTGGTTGTCAAACATGTTGCATTGGTCGATGTAGAGTTTGTTCAGCCAGTTTTGGACATGCTGGGACAAATTAACCGAAGATGACCCGTCCGATTACGAAGCAGATGATGAGGTGGAAGCGCTTGAACGATTCCTCCATGGCAGTGTCGGTCCCACTCCCTTAGTGTGTCCTCTGCACTTGCCCAAGACTTGAGACATAATCCCCTTCTCATTGATCGGCGTGGATGGACCTTCGCCAGCAGACTGTGTCATCTGCGTGGTCCTTTCTCCCTTTATCTGAGTCTGCAAAGGTAAATGAAATAATAATGAATAAAAATAGTATATTATGTTATGTTATATATGAATAACGAAATAAGTTTAAAATTTACTTGCAAATGCATGTTCCGCGTCCGAATTGATAAAATTATGCCCATGATGGTGCATGTCACCCCAATTATCAATTAATGATCTTAACTCCTGGGTCTCGAGATTTGCCTAATCAAGTTGAACGTGTTAGAATAATTATTAAGCCAAAGTGACAAAAACTTAATAAGTATGCAAATTAGTATTACCTTATCGAAACGATGCTAGGAGTATAACTTTCTACCATGGAAGCTAGACCACTTTTGACTGCTACGATTTTGTTGATTTGTAGCAGATTTTTTCTAGTAATGATCATAGATGAATTAGTAACATACTTAATAATTAAATAAACTAATTAATCAAAAGTAAGAAGTCATAATGAAATTGAACCTAAAAAGTAGGGAACGTAAAACAATCACAGTAAGGTCCCATCGCTCTTTTCTTCTCAAGTTTTTAGGAGGATTTTGCCTAACAAAATCCTCATTTTCTGCCCCTCCCATCTTCTGAAAGTGTCTGTGCAAGTCGACTGCATCTTTAATGATGTCGTTGTCGCGGTTGCGACGACACATGTTGTGGGAGGAAGGTTCTGGAATTCTTATTTGTGATGACACCTGTAATGTCGTCGCAAATAATATTTGGGGACCCGCCCAATTTCCCCGCCTTCTATTTTATTGAGGGAATACAAATCACTTTTTGCGATGACACACATTAATGTCATCGCAAAAAAATTTTGCCACCCGCCAAAATAATCCTTTTTTCTCGGGGGAAAAAAAATAAAATAAATTTTATTTGCGACGATATTTGTCATCGCAAATAGTTGATTATCTGCGACGACATGTCATCACAAATAATGTTATTATGGCGCTAAAATTTTGCGCCATACGAGATCTGGTGCCAAGCAGTTATTTACGACGACATGTGACTTTTTTACAACGACATTATTTTTTCAGTTTTACGAAAATATTTACGACGACATGTCGCCCCAAATATTCACTCATTTGCGACGACTCGTCGCAAATAATTTCATCGTAAATAGACCAAATTGTAGTAGTGTGTATCGTCTCATAATTCTTTTAGAGTACTTGATTGTTTAACTACTAAATTTTCTCACTTGTGATTGGATATTTTTTTTATTGATTGTTAGAAACTTTTCAAGAGCTTCTATTTTCTTATAATTATACCGGATCCATATTTTTTACTAGATGTCTTATTATTAAAAAGACATACATATAAAGAAAAACCCTAATCCACAAGAATTCTTATGAAGAACCATAATAGTAAATAATAAAAAAGTTAAGTATTAAAGAGAAAAGGAGGAATAGTGAATATTAATCACTCCCTCAATTAATATAAGATCAAGAACAATGTTAAAAAGATCTATCTAGATTCTTATTTTTCTGCTATTTCCGAACTCTTTAAAATGTTTCAGAAGAGAAGACGAGTGGGGCTGAAGTAGAGAGTAATATTACCAACAGAGAACAGACCAACAGTAATTGGGATTTTTTTTTTCACTATCCTAGAAGCAATATTACTTTTGTATGGTATCATTAACTTTTTTTTAACATCTATAGATATATATTGTGGGACTAGATTCTATATGCCTTTTGAAGATTATTGTCGTTTTTAAAATTGTGTCGTTTTTTAATACTAATGTTCGTTGAGGATCAGGTTGTCTTTCATCTATTGGGAATTCAGAGAGTGAGAGATTTATTGGGAATTCAGAGAGAGAGAGATTAACAACAAGAGTAAGGTAGAGTAAGGCGTAGAAATACTAGCATCATTCTTTCGGTCACTCTCTGCATTTATTGTTTAACACATGGACTGCACTATTTCATTATCTGTTTGAATAATAATATATCATGTTAGGCGAGTCACATATCAATAGTAAATAGAATAGTGAATACACATGGTGATAAAGAGAGTGACGCTAGCATTTCTCGAGTAGGGAAAGAGGAGCTTAACAACGAGATGCCTTGTTTTTCCAGATTACATGATGCTGAAATTCTGTTCTCTGTCTAGAACATTGTTTTTTCAATCTTGACGTTTAGTTTTCATGTTGTTTTTGAGGTTATTATCATTTTTATATTGTTGTCGTTTTCATATACACAGCAGGAAATACCATTATCATTTACAGCGAAAATGAAGAGGATTAGGTGCTTTGGCAATTCGTCGCTGAAAGGCAAATGGCAATTTTGTAGATTCTTTTTTCCATACGATATCGTTTAACAAATTTATGGTCATTTTTAAAGCTGATGTCGGTCTAGATTACTGTTTTTCTACGTTTACTGAAGTTCTTTTCGTTCTTTTTTTGATAATATCGTTTTTGGTTGTCTTTCTTTTCACGTCTAAAAAGAATGTTATTGCTTCATTATCATGTCATTTTTCCAAACGATGTCGTTTACTAGAATTTAGGATCTTGATATGGGTTTACACGTCAAGCGATTTTATTGAATTATTGTCGTTTTTAAGATGTTGTCGTTTCTTCAGTTCACATTATTTGTAAAAGGTTTTTGTCGTATTTTCATAAGTTGTTTATTTATTTTCTCGTTCTTTCTCTTGTTTCCTAATACGTCGTTTACAAAAATTTATGATCCTTTATGTCAAATATGGTTCTGATTGTTATATTTTATTGAGCTTGTTGCTGTTCTAATCTTGATGTCGTTTTTTATTTTTTTTTCTTTTCACTTTACGTTGTTTTGTTGGAATTACATGTTTTCTTGTTTGCCTGGTTTTCCAGATCATGTCGATTATTCAATACTTGTTAATAAGCGATGTCGTATTTACAGTTATTATCGCTTATAGAAGTTGTTGTCGTTTTCCCGCGATTTTGTTCATCAAGACTGTTGTCCTTTTATATTTCTAAATGTCGTCGTTTTCCCAGATGGCGTCGTTTACTAGATCTACAACGGATCCTCGATCGATGTGGGTTTAGATAGTTGTTGTTTATTGGTCTCGTTCATTTCGCTGATTTGAGTTTACAATTCGAGTTTTATTACAGTAAAAAACTCTCACAAACAGTCACATCTAACTTTTTTATTACAGTAAAAAGTTCTCACATAAAATCACATCTTAACTCAAATTCTAAACTTGAATCAGCGAAACGAACGAGGTTATCAAGACCCTTTTGGTTCCTATATTTAAATCAATGATTTTAATTTTATTATAATCATCTCACAAAGAATTTGACTCTTTAGTATTTTTTATCTCACAAAGAATTTGAAGTTAAAAATTTCTTCTCACAAAATTCTTATTAATGAATCAAAATCAATGACTTGAACGTGTGAATCAAACGGACCCTAGGGTTCTTATGTTGATTTTCTTAAACTTCTATCGTTTTTTAAATCTGTCGTTTATTGAGACTATTGTCGTTCCTTCCTTTTATAAAGAGAATTCCAGATTCTGGATGACGTCTTTACACATTTATTCATTTGTTTTTGCTAGTCTACTAACGGGTCAACGGAACGGGGTTAGTGGTGCAAGAGTAAATTATCATAAAAATCTCTTAAACTTTTAAAATGTTATTTTTTTAAGCAATGAACAAACACTAAAAAAAAAAAAAAAAAAAAAAACTGTATTTTACAAGGTATTAATGCCTTTTAAAAAGCTGCATTTTACAAGGTATTTATGCTTTTTTTTTCTTTTTCATTTTGAAAAAAGGCAAATTTAGAAGCCGAAATAAGCCCAGTAATATACCTTACAATGCAAAAATAAAAATAAAAAACACAGTAATATAAATTTTTTATTTTTTTTAGAGTAAGTAATATTACCTTTAAGATCGTATAATAAATTACCCTAAAAAAAAGATTGTATAATAAATAATAATTAATACCTGTCGTTTCAAAGGGGGCAAAAAAAGATTTGCGCCAATATTTGCTTATTAAGAAAAATTTGCGCTAATATTTCAGTCTTTTTATCTTCGTACTTAAAATGGAAATTATTTATTTGATTAGCAACAAAAGAAGAAAAGAATAAAAAAAAATAACAGTTTACACTTACAGAAATTTGCGCCAAACAAAATACACTTTGAACACAAGCAATTCAACCACCAATCTCTCTCTCTCTCTTTCTCAATCATTCAAATCAGAAAAAGTAGATCTAAGAACCTTTAGTTGAAGATTCAATTCAATTCATCTTCTGGAAATAAAGAAGAAGAAGAAGAAGAAAATTCTGGAATCTGTAGACGAAAATGCAGAGCAGAGGGTCGAGTGCCAGGCTTTCGGGCATGGCATTTCGATCCCGAGTCCCGACTCTCTTGCTCTCCATGTTCGCGACCTTCGCTTCCATCTATGTCGCCGGCCGGTCAGTTTCGAGTTTTTCCATCCCAATTTTTTATTTTTATTTTATCGAATTCGATTTTTGTGGGGGGTTTTTTTTTTTTTTTCTCTTTTTGCGTTTGCGTTTTCTAAATCCTAATTGGACTCGGGTTGTATGCAGATTATGGCAGGACGCGCAAAATAGAGTTTATTTGATTAAGGAGCTTGATAAGATTACTGGTCAGGTTGGTATTTTCTTGATTGGATCACTTTTTTTTTCTATGTGGATATTGAGGCGTGTTTGGTTTGTGAAAGTGGAGAGTTTTTTCTTGATATCAAACTAATGCCATTCTGTTAAATTTAGTTTGGATTATTATGCTAGTTTTAGCTATTATTGAATCTCTGAAAAATTCTAGCTATAATGATTAATGGCCCGTTAATTTAAGTTTTTAATTCGAGTTGTGATGTGATTTTATGTGAGAGCTTTTTACTGTAACAAAAAAGTTAGATATTACTGTTTTTTAGAGCTTTTTACCGTAACAAAACTCAAATTTTAAATTCGAATCGGTGAAATGAACGGGCCAAATCAACTATTTTTCTGATTTTGTGCTCATATCAAGTGTATTTGGATACCCAAATGTACAAACTTTTCTCCTTCTTGGCTTTTGAGGTGTGTTAGTCTGTGAAAATTGAAACTTTTTTTTTCTCCTCCAAATCAAACTTATGCGAGTTCCTGTTGGAATTATATTAGTTTTAGATATACTTGCTTGAAAATTCCTATGCACTATGATTAGTGAACCATTTTTTCGATTTTGTCCACATGTCACACCTTATTAACTTCCCATGAACAATTTGATTAACTAGTTGTTTGGGTTATAGGGTCAATCTGCGATATCAGTGGACGATACATTGAAAATCATAGCCTGCAGGTAGTGGTAGTCATTTTTCATTTGATTTAATTGGGATACGCATGTGATGTATGATTTTACATTTTAGAATGGACTTGATGTCACTTTTTGGCACTTGTTAGGGAACAACTCAAGAAATTATCAGCCCTTGAGATGGAGTTGGCTGCAGCTAGACAAGAAGGTTTTACTTCAAAGCGCACAGAGACTACATATACTAATGATGCTAAGTCTAAAAAGAGGCCTCTAGTAGTTGTTGGAATCCTGACAAAGTTTGGCCGCGACAAAAATAGAGACGCAATTCGTAAGGCATGGATGGGAACTGGTATTTTCTTATTAGTCTTTGTCCTCATTTGTTTTCCTTCTTCGTACAGTTAGATTTTTGTCTGTCTGCTTGTTTTTCTCCATTTTCAATCTGGTATATGTATTCCATCACTTTATTGGGCTTTCTGTTTTAGAAAGGAGAACTGAGTAAGCAGGCTTTTTACAGAAGGTAATAAGAAATCAGGACAGTAACGAATTGTGACTCAACGCATTAGATGAATCAAGGTTGCCTTTAAATAAGTGCACTAACTGTAATGGATAGCTGGGGGAAGTCTACACATTTTACGTCTTTTCTGAAGAGAATTCCCAAGTCTTTGTTGCCTCTGAATGCATCTCTATACAAGGAGTAATATTTTACAAAAAGCCCAAAGGAAATGCCTTAAATCATGTTGCAAGAGTAATAAAATTCTAAATCAATTTTGGGGTGCTACATTTTATCATGGCTACAATGCATTTAATTACCAACAACATGCTCTGTAAGACTGTATCTGGTTAACCAAGCACACGTCACTTGCAAAATTAATAATGTGGTGTCGATTAATTTTTCAAATAAAGGGCTTCTCTATGTTGAGCATGCTTGTCTTACAAGTGTTTATTGTGGTAAGCAATAGTATTATGTTTGGAAGTTTTAGAGAAAGAGAATTGTCTTTACAGGTGCAGCTTTGAAAAAACTGGAGAATGAAAAAGGAATAATTGCACGATTTGTCATTGGAAGAAGGTATCTGATCTCTCTCTCCCTTTCTCTCCCCCACTTTTCTATGGTTATTGGTCAGTAACCTTTGCCTGATGATCCATTCTACTGCAGTGCAAACCGTGGCGACCAATTCGACAGGGCCATTGACAATGAAAATAGGAAAACTAATGACTTTATCATTCTCGTGCGTTTCCCATATTTTGTTGAATTGACTATAGATGCTTTCATGGAATTCAGAACTGTTCGTTAAGCTTCAATAATTTGACTACTTTCTACCCCCTCCCATCTCTTTTGCAGGATAAACATGTGGAGGCACCTGAGGAATTTCCGAAGAAGGCTAAACTGTTCTTTGCTCATGCTGCAGATAAATGGGATGCTGAGTTTTATGCTAAAGTCAATGATGACGTTTATGTAAATATTGGTTAGTAAAAGAATTTTGTCAGATAGAATAAAATTTGACAACCTCCACATGTCTGCATGATGCTTAATGATGAACTTTTAAATCATTGCATATATTAGAAAGAATTGCAGGAAGCCATTTTGCAATGTTATTGCTGTGGATACTATCTTGGTATTTTGTATGATTAAATAATTCTTAATCAGTAAACTGCCACTGCATTTCCCATACTTAAGAACATGAAATAATATGTGGGCCTAGTTTAGTCTTCCATTAAAGAAGTACCTTTTATCCAGAATTCCTACATCCCAGATCTCAGATGGATACTACATACAGTTGATGTAATTGTTTTTTTTTTTTTTTTGGGGGGGGATGGATTTGCAATTTTTAAACTGTTAAAATCTCTTCTTGGAGTATGCTATCTATTAATTTACTTATTCTTGGACAGATGCTCTGGGAGCTACTCTAGCAACTCATTTGGACCAAGTGGGGTCTTAAGAACTGTTGTTTTAATTTTTTTTTTTTTTTTTTGGGGGGGGGGATGGATTTGCAATTTTTAAACTGTTAAAATCTCTTCTTGGAGTATGCTATCTATTAATTTACTTATTCTTGGACAGATGCTCTGGGAGCTACTCTAGCAACTCATTTGGACAAACCTCATGTTTATATTGGCTGCATGAAATCAGGCGAAGTTTTCTCTGAACCGTGAGTCTTGCCTAGAATTATTTTTATTTTTTATTTTTTTTTGCTTTCTTTAAGACGAAATCTTGAAAACATTCTCATATTCTGTAATTTGCTGATTCTTTTAGGGGCCAGAAGTGGTATGAACCAGATTGGTGGAAATTCGGCGATAAAAGATCGTAAGTTGTACTGAACCATATTTTAATTTTTGTACGGCCCACCTCCTACCTTATACTGATTGTTCTTGTTCGCCAGAAGGATGGATCTGTTTGGTCATTATAATCATTTACGGACAAATCTTTTGTTAGGCTAATTCTTTTTGTTCCCATTTAAGCAATTATATCTGTCTTATAAAAACCATCTTTTAGACAAAAGAATTAGGCTTTAGCAGTCACATAGTGAAGAAAACTCGAAATTTGTCACTCCTGGTTTTTTTAATTTATTTCTTCCTGAAAGACAGTAGCAATACTGTGGCATATGCCTCGGGACAATAAATTTGCCGATGCATTTCTGTTTTAGATGTTGCACTAACCCTCTGGTTTTCAACAGATATTTCCGCCATGCTTCAGGTGAGATGTATGTCATATCACAAGCTTTGGCTAAATTTATATCAATAAATAGGTGAGTTCGTTTCCTTTATTACTGTTTCAATGACACAAAACCATAGATGCAATGTTTAACCTCTCACTGACGGACTCTGCAGATCTATCCTCCGAACGTATGCCCATGATGATGTGAGTGCTGGATCTTGGTTCATCGGGCTTGATGTCAAACATGTTGATGAAGGGAAGTTTTGCTGCTCATCCTGGTCCTCAGGTCTCTCTCCCTCTCTCTCCCTCTCATCATGATCATCACCGTATGTTGATTGCTTGTGTGTTTTCCCAGTTTGATTTACTTCCTCAAGGTAACTGACGATAATTTGTTATTTCCCAGGAGCTATATGTGCTGGCGTTTGATTTGATTTTCATTGGGATTGTTTGGAGAAAGAATAAACAGAGTTCTCTTTGAAGATACCATTACCATTCATCATTCAACATCTCTTACTAATTTGCGCTTCGCTTCACGAGGAATCGTGGTTCTTGAGGAATGTTGATTCTGGGCGTCTAGCACATCAGACACATGAAATCTGATGAAAATAGCTTCATTCAACACCGGGACAGAGTACGGTTAGGAGGATTGGAGTATCTACAATGGTCTCAATATATTCAACGTAGGTCAACTATACAAGTATAGAAATACTAATTGTCGAGGTCGTCCTTTCGTGTCGTGATGTATTTTCCGAACATCATTTTGTCCCCGAGTTTATTCCATACTAATGAAATAGGAAGGTGATTCTTTTTCATTTAACTCAAAGTCCCGGTTTGCTTTAGTTGTTTATGGCACGATCCTTTCTTTGCATTCTTATGTTCGTAATGTCGGATTTCCCAAATCTCGAGTTTAAATTCAAACAATTGTCCAATATATGATCACTTCTTTGCGATTAGAGACCTGTGGTATTTCCAAACAAATCTACTTTCATACTTCGAAAACTATCCTGATGATCAGTACTGAAATGCTCGTGTTTATCGACAACATTGATGCGTTTGGGGCTTATGGTTCGATGCGTAAAACTTTTTACAAGTTAATTTTGGTTTTTTTTTTTTTTTTTTTGGGTTGCGTAGACCACAAACAAGCGCACATACGCAAAAAAACTGACTTTGCCGCGTGAACAAAAACGTCTTATCAACTTTGGTCTCAAACACATGCCAGAAAAAGATGAAAGGAAAGAAACAACAATAATATCAGAATTTATGACTATTATCGACAACTGTGTAAAAATACTAGGAACACTGTACAATCGTGTTCAATCAAGGTTCATATTACAGAAGCACAACTGTTTATAGGCGCCACCATCGCTCATCAAAAGGGGAGGCGAAAAAAAAAAAAGGCATCACTTTTGGCATCAACCTTTACTCACGACGAACTGTTGAGAAAATGTGCCAGCGCCTTGTCTGTGTCATTCTCGTACATAACTAGAGCTTCAGCGACACTCTTCGAGGGAAATCCCATCTCTCGTAAGAGGTTGTAGCCATTGACAAAATCCCGAACCTGGAGAGGAATCAAATGAAAGACTAGTTCAGGCAAATTACGTCATAACAGTAGAGCACCAGGAATAAGAGAACACCAGCTAAATAGCAAGATAAAGCCGCAACAAATTTCAAATTGTGAAAATAAGGTTGTCTCAATGTACAAGGAACCAAGTGAGTGAGTGAGTGCAGAAAGAGTATGCTAATGAAAGAAATACTATGATGGATATGTGAAATGTTATATTTACTTGGCTCTTGACGAATTTCCACTAAAGATATTAAGTGCCAGAAAAAATCCTTTGGCACTTGTTTCGCATTTACCGAGCACATAATGAAGAAAGCAGGAGCAAACAGATCAATATTTATTGCCTCTACAAGGCTGTAACTTGTAAACACACCCAGTGCTTAAAAGATAGAAATGTTGCAGAAAAAGAGATTAAGAAAGCACCTTAGTGGGATTGTCTCCGTAATGCCCAACAGCAAGAGTAACAGCTTCTCGGCTGAGCCCTGAAGCAATATATTTGCTAACTGTAGGGTCTGCAACGGAACCCTGCAATGACAACTTACTATTAGGAATTTGCATGTGAACGTAAGACCAGATGCAAGTAAAATAATTGCACATGTAATTCGTTATTGGTCTGCATACAAGGGATACAAAGAAATCCGGATATGACCAGCTATAATACTCGAAAAGAATCTTTCCCAAAAAAAAACAAAAAAGAAAAGAAACATACCACTGAAGATGTTGATGACACAGTCCTAGACGGATGGTTTTCCAATCCAAGCTTGACCCAGTTTTGGTTTTCCTTCTCTGCCTCAGCTAAAATTTTTCTCTCAAGTTCAAAATCAAATTGGAAATTGCTTCGAGGTATTTCTCCTACTTGTGGTGACAACTGAGGCTACAAAAGGAAAGAACAAATTCCTAAGTGAATCATACCATAGAAAATTTCACACAGGTAAACCGTGGGAAAATAGCAAAACTTGTTGATGTTTACAAGTAACTACTTTCAAAATATGAAATGCACAACAATAGAAAATAATGGACTAGATAGTGGATAAATCATTTTCTTAAGCTGATTCTTCAACGTAGAGCACTTAGAAAAACCAAAATGACATGAATGTCACGATTCATGAACAAGGGGTACGCAAGAGGAAAGTTGCATAAAACATTTGAATACCCTATTTTGATTTTTGTTTTCTTTTTTGAGAAAGAAAATGTATACTACAATCCATTCCACCACCTGAAGCCACTAGATAGCAAAAATAATCATAGACCAGTAGAAGCAAACACCACTCTCCTAAACCATTAACTACACATTCCATAATTTCATTAAGATGAACTAATTCACAAGATGATTTCCTTGAAAAGCAGAATCAAGTAATGGAACATAATTTCCCAGAATTATAATCTTTTCGGTTCTTTCCTACTGTTCAAGCTATTAAGATCATCATTTACATTTCATCACTGTTCTTCAACATATACATTGAAATCACGTGTACTCAATTTTACAGCAATAACAAACCAGCAGAACACCAAATTCGAAAGGAATTCTAGATCGTGTTTTTCTTTCTTTTAACCAAAAAAAAAAAAAAAAAAAAAACC